AGGCTGCCGTCCTCCCCCCAGCACCCGCAGCCTCGCCCGCGGGAGCTGGGGAGGGAGAGCGCGAGCGGGGGAGCTGGAGCCGGGCGCCGCCGCCGCCGCTGAGGCTTCCGTCTCGCTCGCTCGCGCAGCGGCGGCAGCAGAGGTCGCGCACAGATGCGGGTGAGACTGGCAGGGGGAGGAGGCGGAGGAGGAAAGGAAGCTGCATGCATGAGACCCACAGGTAAGCCCGAGAGCCCCGGAAGGGGCTTTCCATCCCGGCGAGGAGTGCGCAGGCCGGGGAGAGGGAGTTGCTGCCTGCTTTTGCTCCCCAAGGAAGGAATTTTTGAACCGCGCAGAGAAATCTCTCTGGGGACTGTAGCAATAGGACCCATCCCGATCCTGGGGAAAGCCAGAGAAGTAGCAGGGGGGACCCGGTGCCACACTGGGAGACTGGCAAGAGTGAAATGTGTAGGCCCAGGGAAAAGTGGTTGCTCAGCCCCGAGATGCAAGAAGGCTGTAGACTTTCCTGTCATGGTCACAACCGCTGAATTTCGGGGACCGGCGCAGAGCCAATGCGCGAACCCCTGCTCTCCTCCCCTCCTCCACTCCCCTGCACGCGCAGCATCCCACGGCGGCTGTTACTCAGTGTACCCCGCGCTGGGGGCGGGGAGCTCGCCGTGGGAAAGGGGGCGGGGGCCACGCGGGGGAGGAGCGGGCATGGAGACGGAGGAGCCGGGGCGCCGGGTCCCGGGCGGAGGAGGAGGAGCGTGGCCCCCGGGACCCGGCAGCCTGGGGCATTGTCGTGTTCCGCTCCTGATTGCAGACTCTTGCAAGCCGGATGCCCTCTGTGGATGAAAGATGTATCATGGAATGAACCCGAGCCATGGAGATGGATTTCTAGAGCAGCAGCAGCCTCAGTCCCCCCAGAGACTCTTGGCCGTGATCCTGTGGTTTCAGCTGGCGCTGTGCTTCGGCCCTGCCCAGCTCACGGGCGGTGAGTGACCCCGCTGACACGCGGGGGCCGCGGGACAGCCCCAGCCCTGTCCCCCTTATACCCCCCCAGACTTTAGGGGAACCTGAGAGCCCGAGGGTCCCTGTGTCCCAGCCTGAGACTGCCCTCTTCAGAACCCCCCCGGAGTTCCCTGAAATTCCTCCGTGGACGCACACTTTCGCCCACCCGCATTCTGACTGTGGCTTCCCACCAGCCGCCCAGCCTGGCTTCTCGGAAGGAAAGACATCAAAGCCTGGCTCGTAATTCTCACTTCGGCCAAGAGAAAGGGGAAGAGAGTGGTGTGTTTGTAGTTCACCTGTGTTTGTGGACCTGTGACCCTTAGCAGACAGGGGCCGGGTTTCCCCGCCTGGATTTCGGCAAGAGTTGCAAGAACCACGTTTGTGAATGGGAAGGGTCTGAAAACATGGCCGGCCGGTCGGTCGGGCTGAAGGACAGGTTTATTTGAAAGTTAACTTTTTCTTCATTTTCTCTTTCCTTGGGAGGTGGTGTGTGCCAGCATGTCTGGGCATGTTGGGGATGCGGAGGCGAAGCAGAGGTTTTCCGTCAGTTGTGGGTCTGGAAAATTGCTTTGCCTGTCTGGGTCTGATACACACGGGGAAAAAGTCAGGTGCTCGCCTGTGAAAGAGAAGTTAGCTGAAGTAAAATTGATAGCCTCAGTCTCTGGAGGCGTCTGATGTATAACATACTTGGTCTGGGGCAGGGGGCTATCTTTTGGTTTTGGTAAATGTCTTCACATGTGGAGTTTCTGTTGGAATTTCAGAGCCTGAGAGCCTTCTTACCTCCGCGGCTTGCTGCTGTCCATCGTTGCTGTCCATTCCAAATTTTCTGCGAGGGCTTGCTAGTGTGGACGTGTTGAAAGGACAGAACCATGTTTCTGGAGCTGAACTACTGTTGATATACAAATAAATTATAAATGGTGGAAAACCAAGTATTGATTGATATAAATAAACCATTTTAGCATTTTAAAATATTGCTGTTTTCAGAGAATTCGAAGGTGAAGATGGAAAGATTGAAGAATTAGCAGGAGCAGGGGTGGGGATAACAAGTTGGGCTTTCACACCGAGTAGTCAGTAATACAGGTATCCCATTTGGAAATGTGTCCAGAGTATAAAGATAATTGTTGTGATGTGCGTGCCTGTCGGAATTAGTGAGAAAACACTTGGTTGGGGACCTGGTTTTTGTTTTGTTTTATAAGAAGGGGTAACTTTTTCTATACTGTTATTTTCAGAGAAATGTCTCTAAGGCAGGCTTCCTCCTCATAAAAATCGAGGTCAGATGTGGAGCCTGCCAGGGCTCTGTTCTGCCCTGGATACTGACTCTGCTTGGTGGATGAAGGGCACAGGCGGGCAGGGCAGGGTTGAGTAGGGCTAGGTCATTTCTTCCCCTCTTCTCTTACCTCCCAGTTCTAGCTTTCATTTCCTCCAGCCAGTTGCATATGCTTTTCCTTCCTTTTGGTCCATTTTTCCCATGTAGATGACAGATTAGTATATCAGGGCTCATTCACCTGGGACTTGACAGTTCTTATTGGATGTGGGAGGTCTGAATAGAGCCCTGCTGGATTTGAAGGCTGTGCTCTGGGTTCCTCCTGTTTGTGTTTACAGAGCATCCTCCTCAAGGATCTCTGAGTTTGGTGCACAGCACGACCCCCTCCCTCTCACGTCAGTCGCCTGTGAGGTTCATACCCAAACCGTTGCCGTCAAGTCGATCTTGGCTCATAGCGACCCTATAGCATGGAGTAGAGCTGCCCCATAGGGTTTCCAAGGAGCATCTGGTGGATTCGAACTGCTGACCTTTTGGTTGGCAGCCGAGCTCTTAACCATTGTGCTGCCAGGGCTCCGTGAGGTGCATACAGCACGTCTTTCATCCCTTCCTTCCCAGAGGGGTATATGTCAAGCAAAAAGATCCAGAGCCTCGCAGAGGAGGGCTGGAGTAAGAGCTGCTTCTCGCCTCTCGCTTTCAGAGCTCTCTCTTTTTAGGTTCTCATCCACTGCAGAAAGACTCTTTCAGGCTGAGAGTGTGTTTTCTAGAAGAATATTTATCATTTCAGAATTCCTCTGTGAATAAACAGTTTGGGCAGAGAAGGGTGGTGGGGGATGTCCTATGGAGTTTATTATCAAAGATTTTCATTCTTCGGGGGGAAAACCCATGTGGAAGCTCCAGGATGGAATAAAAACAATTCACCCTAGAGTTGTCTAGACCTGTGCTTCTAAAACTCTGTAATGTTCGTACACATCACCTGGGGATCTGGTGAAAGGGCAGATTCTCCTTCAGTAGTTCTGCGGTGGGGCCTGAGATTCTGCGTTCTAATCAGCACCCAGGTGAGGCTTTTGCTACTGGTCCACAGACCGTACTTTGATTAGCAAAGCTTTAGACTAAGGCATTCTTTAAAATAAGTTGGTTCTCACTCCAGACTTTCTGCCATCACTCTCAATTACCAAACTCAGATGGCATACGTGGGATAGGTCTCACCGGTGTCCAACTTTAGGTGAGACGCAGAGCTGAAAACCAGCCCTCTGGGAGCACTTTCTTTTTTTCATCCACAAAAAGGTGCATATTTAATAGACACTGTTCTGAAATGTGGATTTTCATTTTTGATTGCTTTCAGTGGAAAAGGAACAGTACAATAGCAAGATATAATAGTGTCAGCTGGGAGAAAAAAGCATGTGTCCAATACGAGTATGATAGAAAAAGCCTGAACCAGAGAGGGGAAAATTGAGAAAATGATCAGATGAAGAAAAGGGAGGAAAAGAACTCCTGTCAGAAACCAAATGCGATGTCCGAGAAAGCCAGAGATTCTGTTCAATTCTCTGAGCGCTACCAGAGCTTTCGTGAGCCTGAGATGGCCTGAGGTGACTTGTGGCTGGCTCTCTGCAGGTTGTCTTTTGTAAATTAGGAAAAAGGGCCCTCATTTGGGGCTTCTAAGACCAAGTAACCTGAGAGGACTAATAGCAGGTCTTTAGGGAGGCACAGGACCCACTGTTCCTGGAGTCTGCATGGAGCGTGGTTTCTGCTGCTGCTTTCCTTCTCCTCCCAGGTGCTGGGTACCAGAGGCTGGCTGTGGGTTTGAGGGCTGTCTGGAGTGGTCTACCCAGGCTTGCAGGAAGAGAGCCCGCAGTTTGCTCTACAAGTAGGTCCTCAAAAGTGAACTCATTAGCACACCCGTAAATTATCGGAGGCTCAAGGGCAGGATCTGAGGCTTGGCTCTGCCACTTGATAGCTTTGGGGCCTTGGAAGCCTCCATTTCCTCATCTGTAAAATGAGGATGATGATGAACTCGTGGGGTTGGTTGAGGGATGGAAATCATAGGCACTTAGTAAATGTAGGATGTAGTAGCGGGGAGGGAGCTAAGACAATGCCTTGATCTTGGCACCTTTGCCAAGCTCTGTTGCATGTAATAGTCCTTTGACCCAGAAGAGCTCTCCTTTGCTCTCCATTTTTGGCCCAGTGAACTAATTTGTTTTCAAGACCCAACTTAATGCCATAATCTTTTTTACACTTGGCCTGGTGTAAGTTCCCACGTCACCTGGGGCTCTTATCACCTAAGGTATAATCCTCTGTCCTAACCTCGGCTCATTCACTAGACTGTAAATCCTTTGAGGGAAAGAACCTTGACTTTATTCATTTTCATGCCTCAGGCACCCACCACAGTGTCAGACCAAAGTAGATGCTTAGCTAATGTTGGCTGAGAGGAAGAAAAAGGATTCCCAAATCACTGCTGTGTTGTTGTTACTTGCTGCCCTCGAGTTGACCCCCAACTCATGGCGACCCCATGCACAATTGGGTCAGACTGTGGTGAAACAAGATTTTTATTGACTGATTTTCGGAAGTAGTTCTATAGCCCTTTCTTCCTGCTCCCTCTTAGTCTGGAAGCTCTGCTGAAACCTGTTCAGCGTCATAGTCACACAAAAGCCTCCACTGACAGTCAAGTGGTAGCTGTGCTTGAGGTACATTGGCTGGGAATCCAACCTGAGTGTCCTGCATGGAAGACAAGAACTCTACCAGTGAACCACCGATGTCGTCTAAGTACTGCTGTACCATTTAGAAAGTCAGTGCCTTGGGTGAATTATAAAAGCGCAAGCGTTTCATGGCTGTTGCAGTCATATCCAGTTAGATGTGGTCCAGGAGGTTGGAGGAGGAATCAGGGAAGGCTCCAGGGAAGAGCACTTGGATGGGATCTGAGGAAGGCAGGAGTGGGGCATCTCAAGGGAGAGACACCTTGTACAAGGACCTGGAGGTAATTCATGGTTGGACCATTCAGAGAGCAAAGGATAATCTGGTTCATCTAGAACGTAGTATACCTGCAGGGGGCCAAGTAGGGTAAGAGGACAAATAGCTTAGAACCCTGTCATAAGGGTCCTTAGAAGCCCCCATGAGGAGTCACGCAGGAGGCAGTGGGGACCCCCTGAATGGCTTAGAGCAGGAGTGTAATATCATCAGAGCTGTGCTTGATTTCCTTCATCTGCTTCCAAGTCTCTGAGTTAGGGCAACCCCCCCAGTCTGGCTGCCCTCTCTGCACACCCAAGTTATGGCATTAGTCATGTATGGGCTGTGTGGCCGTAGCCTTGGGCTGTGTGCCAGTGGGCGGGAACAAATGCTTTCCAGATGATTCACTGATCTGGAGATGCTAGTCTGTTGAAGTTTTATGAAGAAGAGTTTTTTTACATGGTAGAGTTTAAGCTTTTCATGCAATGCTATGGATAAAAGCCATGATTTCAAACTGTATTTAATGCAATCTGTAAGCGAAGTCCCAACTCCTCAAACTATATGTTTATTCAGCAGAAGACCACCTTAAAATAAGCACGTGGAAACACTTTGGATCTAATTACAAGGTGAAATCTGAAAGCTTTTGGATTTCACGAGAAGGATTTCATAAAGCAAGTAGCAAATCTCTTGTCTTAGAGGCCTGAAGAAGCAAGTTGGAGAGAGAGCCAGTGATTGTTTAATTCTTGAGAGTGTGGACGTGAGTAGGTGAAAATATCTCT